AATACTTTATGCAGTACGTAAGTCTATTTGATATTAATATTTTAATTGGATAGTAATATAGCGTATAAATGAAATGTATTAGCGTACAAATAAAGCTTTTTAGCTTGCTGACCGCCATTGTTCGAATGCTATCATCTCACGTGATCTTTGTGACGACATTGCTATACGGCCTTCCTATTTGATCTAACTTTTGCCATTCCGCTTTCCGCCACGGCAGAAGTTTCGACATTTTGCCGTTCCTTCAACGGTTTCGGTCGTCCGTTGCCGCATGTGAGTACCAGGCTTAAGAGTATTAACATAGAAGCATTGAAAATATAACGGCTTAGATATAAAACAAAGATTCGAATAATCTTATATTTAATTATCAGATACGTTTGCGTTCACTTCTAACATTAATATGAAAATCAGTATCTTTAGAATATTTACAGTACTTACCAAACGTTTTATTTGTCTGACTCGGAACGGTGACGAAGACAAACTAAATAACACTATTCGTACAGTACTGAACTTATATATACAGGGTTCATCCTTATTCACCAATGGTAATTTCAGGGTACGTTCGTTAAGTCGAACGAGTTAAACGAGAACGACGTCATCGTTATTCTTGTTTAGTTAGGTTTTCCGAACGATTCATTTAGAAAATGGCCGTTTCAAGATCTGAAGTTTTAAACATTGTTACTGCGATTGTGTCTGAAGTATTTTTTTCGGATGATTCTGAAGACGAGATCGAAAGTTATGTCATTTTAGAAACTTCAAAAAGGAGACTGCGTATAAAAGGCTACGTAGAAAGTGTCGTTCCTTCATATTTAAGTGACGATTTCCAACGTCATTTTAGAATGAAGAGATGCACTTTCGAAATTCTTTTGGAAAAATTAAAACCTAAATTAACCAATTCTTTCGGAAGACCTTGTTTAGATGCAAACAAGCAAATTTTGTCGGTAATTTGGCTTCTAGCAAATCAGGAATCATTCAGGTAAAATAAACTACTTAATAAAGTTTAAAGCTAAATACTGTATTTAAATTTATTAAATAATTTTTCAAAATTAAAGCGAAGAGAAGAGTGCAAACTCATTACGCTGTTAAGATATGGCTTCTTAGAGCGATTTCTAGGCACTTTCGGTGGGAATTTTGGATTCGTTCGCTCTTCCGAACGTCCAGTCCGTCTAATTCCGTCGTCTGTTTTTCATCTCGGAGGAGGAGAATGGCGTCGAAGCGGCGAGAAAAAAGGTGGAACCGCCGTCATCGGGAGGCAGGCCACGGACCGCCGCACAGTGGGACCAAATCCCGGAAAGCTGGCCAAAAGTCAAAGAATAGAGTTTAAGTTCCGGTAATTTCTAGTCGTGGGTTCGGTTGGATAAGAGTCCGAAGGTCGAATTCTAGACTTTAGCGCCCCCTATCCCTTATACCTGCTATTGTAGTTTATCCGTTTATAGCCCGAATTTTCATTTTTTGATAATTTTTTTTTTCTTTTATTATATCATCAGAAGAGATGTTTGTTCACAGATAAGTAAATAAAAAAAATTAAAATGTAAATTAAAAATTTTTTAATTATGTGACTTAAAAGTTAGGAGCGTGAAGTGA